AATCAGACTCAGCTGATGGCCAAGTGTAAACCAGGGAGGCTGTGCAAATGGAGTGATGACAGATTAAGGGGTCTCTGTTCTGGGTTCAAGAGAGGCTGAGGATGTAGGCGTTCGCATCACACCCATGTGTGTCATCTACAAAGGTGGGAGGATAGACAGGTAAGCCAGTGCTAAAGTCACCACTAAAAGTGAGGACAGGACCAAGAGGTCTCTGATGACAGATGTGAGAAGTATCAGGTTAATGCCACAGTTTTACCAGAGTGTGAGGGAATGGTGTGGTCTAAAGCCAGCAGGGAAGAGCCGGGATGATGCCTCCTGCACAGGTGCTGTACAAGTAAGCTATCGGGTCAGGTAGCAAAGAAAGGAAATTCAAAGAAGTTCCTGGCTCTATTATCAGCCAACTGAGCCTCACTCTCTTGTACTGGCCTGGACAGTCCAAGGGAGTTGGATAAAGTAGTTTCTAAAAGGGGGAGTTTCTTCTCTGGCACAGCAATATCCAGGAGCCCTTGACCACTACAGGAGATGTCCTAGAACCTGTTCATCATCAGCCTCTCCCCAGGATGTTTCCCAGTCATCCATCAGTCTCCATCCTGTGTCCTTCAGGCTGCCGATTCTACCTGAGTTCTACCAAAGGATATCAGGCTAGGGAACATATAAAGGCCAAGTCTGAAATGATATCAAAAGTTTCTAGAGCAGAGAAGATGAGGGAAACCATCAACACTAGTATTTGTGTTGTGTAGCAATTTTCCCAAAATTTAAACATTCCACCCAGGAGGGAAGTTTATTAATTAAGACTCAGATTTCTAAAGGGAAACTCCTTAAGACTCAAGAACTCAACAACACAGAAGCCTCAGGAAGTTCCTAAAACTTACCAGATTCACAAGGGTCTCCCATTCTTAAGATTATATAACCAGTAAAGACTCCTGAGTGATGGACCTTTGGTAATGCAGGTGCTTTTGGCTACCCATAATCTTCTAAGTAACCCCTCATCCATACACCTGTAAATAACCCCACACACACACACACCTATAAGTAACCCCTCACACATAATCCCATAAGTAACTCCAATGAATTCATTGGTTCACCAAGTTGTACTTGGGTGGTATCATTACATTGATCAATTGTTGGTTCCCTACCTGGGGTGAATAGATGTTTGTTCACATCTCCCCAGAGATAGTATGACACAAGAAGTTTTTCCTTGCAATCCTGGTGTTTTCCATGAATCAATTTATGTGTGACTACTCGAAATGAATTGAATACAAGCTTCTAAAGATTTAGAAGAAAAGCTCTTTCCTCAGACACCAAATATACAGTTTGAACAGAATCTGTGGTCAGGGGATGTATTAGTTACTTTTCTGTTGTGATGAGTCGTCATGACCAAGGAAACTTTGAGAAGGAAGCGTTCACTTGGCTTATAGTTCCAAACGCGTAAGAGTTCACAATGGTGGAGGAGGCATGGCAGCGGAAGGTGGCTGGAGCAGAAAGCTGGGCAATCACGTGTTCAAGCAGGCACAGGAAGCAGAGAGCAGCTGGAAAATTGTCAAGGCTTAAGAACTCTCTACACCTGCCCCCAGTGATGTGCTTCCTCCACTATGGCCATACCTCCTAAAACCTCCCAAAACAGCACTACCAACTGGTGACAAAGTGTCCAAATACTTAGAGCCTATGGGGACACTCTCATTCAAACCACCACATTCCACTCCCTGACCCCCATAACCTCATGACCATGTCATAACGTGAAATGTATTTAGTCCACCTTCAAAAGTGCCCCCAGTCTAATAGTCTCAACACCATAAGTCCAAAGTCTCTTCTGAGACTGAAGGAAATCTCTTAGCTTTGAGCCCCTGTAAAATCAAAACAAAACTTACATGCTTCCAATATACAATTGAACCAAACACAGATTCCCATTTCAAAAGGGAGGAAGGCAGGCATAGTGAGGAAATACTGGATCAAAGCAAGACCAAAAACTAATAATAAATGTCAAATCCAGCATCTCCATGTCTGACTTCTGAGACTTTACTTCTAAAGGGTTTAGATGACTCAGCCCTTCCAACTTTGCTGCATGCAACACACATCTCTCTCTTGGGCTGGTACTACTCTCTGTATACAGCTGTCCTTGACAGATGTCTCACAGCTCTGGCATCTCCACTGACACCTAGGCTTTACCTTCCTTGATTCACAAAACAGCCTGTTTTGGCCTTCTTTATGGAGGGATGTCCCTACTCCACACTGCCTGGCCTCAGCAGCACTCTGAATCCATGGAAGAAGAACTGATAACCCTTTACTCTTATATTTTTCATGTTTCTAAAGTCAGAACCATATGAATAACACTGTGAAATTCAGCTGCCAGCCTAGGACAGGCCCTGGCCTGCTTCAGGCAGCTTTTCTGTTCTGTGGTTTTCTAGGAGTAGAAAACCCCTCTGGCATTTTCCTTTCACAAGTGGGAGGCTTAGCTGGGTGAGGTCTTGTCAGGGTACTCTTTCCACTTTTAAGTGCAAATCTCTAGGCCTCCCCCTAATGGCTCAAATCTCCTTATCAAAGGGAACCTCTCCTTTAGCACATGCCTTGAGCCCAACATTGATCATCTTACTGCTCTTTTTTCGATCCAAACTGTAAATTCTGCATTTTTTCCTGCCTCACTTGTTCTGTTTCATTGTAGATCTCCATATTTACCATTAATAACCATGCCACTGATTCAACGTTAGGCTGTCTTGAAATTTCCTCTGCCAAAGAAACTAGTCCATTACTTTTCAACTTAGCCTCAGGCAAGCTCTTAGACTGTGAGCAAGCAGCAGTGAAACTTTTTTTAATATCTTATTTTTTTATGTGTATGAGTATATTGCCTGCATGTATGTGAGTGCACCTGTGTCACTCAATACCATGGAGGTCAGAAGACAGTGTTGGATTTCCTGGACCTGCAGTTAAGGATGGTTCTTAGCCAACATATGGGAGCTGAGAATCAAACCTGGATCCTCTGCAAGAGCAGTCAGTGCTCTTAACTTCTGAGCCATCTCTCCAGCCCCAGCAGCCAAACTCTTTGCCAAAACATACCAGTTGCTGCTTAAGTCCTCCTCTCCCTCTGGAACTACAGGATCCTAGGAGAATGGCCTGTTAAGCTCTGCCTACAGCATCCAACTGCTTTTCTAACCCAAGCTTCCAAAGTTTTCCACATTCCTCCAAAAACCCACATGATCAGGTTCTTCACAACAACACCCCAACTCCTGGTACCAAATTCCGTTATTTTTCTGTTGTGACAAAACACCATGATCAAGGGAACTTATACAATGAAGAGTTTTTTTTGGCTTATGGTTCCAAAGGGGTAAGAGTCCATCATGGCAAGGGAGGTGTGGCAACCAGAGCAGAAAGATGATGATCACATCTTCAAGCAGGCACAGGAAGCAGAGAGTGATGGGAAATCTGGCAATCTTAAGAATTCTGAAAGCCTGCCCTTCCTCCAGCAAGGATGCACCTCCTAACCCCCCCCAAAAAAAAAACCAGTGCCACCAACTGGGGACAAAATTTCCAAATACTTGGCGCTTATGGGGGACATTCTCACTCAAACCACCGTAGGAGGTGAGGTAAAAATGGAAATTCTAAGGTCACCAGAGTAAGTTTTAAATGTTGTCAGGATTGTGACTATTATATAAAAAGACTTGAAAGACACAATTTAAAACACGTTTGCAATTTCAGCATGAAAGATTATCATAAAATCTTCAGGTCAAGCAAGAACCTAAGAGACGAACTAACCTTTATTGCAATATCCTCTGTCTCTGTAGGGCGAAGACGTCGGCATTGCTCAAAGCTGTCCAGGTGGTATCTCCCAGGCTGCTTCCTGTTTATTGGTTTTGACTGCTACATTCCAAATGGAAAAGGACACAGTTGAAGCTTTACCAAAAAAGTTGAGAGTTTACTAAACATTCACTTGCATTGCTACTTAACTTCAATACCAAAAAAAATAAGCAAAGTGAATTCCATGTTTTAGACTTTCCAGTGGCTTCACCAAAAGAACAGAGTGAAAAATAAGCTCGATTTGAAGCTAATTCACAATCCTCTTAAGCAAAATGACAAGATGAAGATACAATTCTTGAAAATGATGGTAGGCATGTGGGGATCTCTGGGGCTTGCTTAGGCTTCTAGCCTAGCCCAGAAAACATGGTGTCCAGGGAGAGACCCTGCCTTAGGGAATGGGCAGAATGATATAGAATATAATACCTGATACCCACTTCTAGTTTCCGTGTTTGCATAAAGGTGTGCACCTTTCACACACAGACACACACACACACACATGCAAATAAATAAATATTTATCTTTGGTTAAAAAAAAAAAAAACTCTGTGTACCATGAACAGGCTAATTAGATTAACCCTGATCAAACTACAATCTGTCCAGTAGTCCCATCAGAGTTATAAACAATCATTCTAGAAGCATATTTATTTTGATCATTTTTTAGAATCATGAGGAATTTGAAACTAATACGGACACATGTAAGTTAAATTGAGTTATTTGGCCCCCAAGAATCTATTGTGGATTGGCAAAAGCAAGATCTAGGATTTATTTTATTGCACCTAGATGCACAGTGTTTCAGAAGGTCACTTAGTGTTATAGGGTGATCTGCTCTACTTCAAAACTTACTGTGCTGCTCCTAGTCAGCAGACTCAAGTACCTACCAAGAGGAAGTCAGCAGTTGCAGGGTGGTCTTTGTATGTTTAAAGAAAATGTATTAGGTCAAATTAGAAATTTCTCATTCTCTAATTTTGAGTTAATTTCCCATAGCTAGAGATGAATGGCTAAAAAGAAGGTATAAACTCTAGCTCACTAAACCTCTAATTTAGAAAAATACAAATGCTGGGCAGAGGGGATGGTTCAGTCAGTAAAGAGCTTGCAAGGCAGTTGTGAGGACCACAGTTTGATGCCCAGAACCCTGGACTTGGCACTGTGGACGTGTAGTCCCGGCTCTGGAAAGGTGGAGATAGATCAGCCTAGCCTGCTTGGAAAGTTCCAGGTCAATGAGAGACTGTCTTCACACAATAAGGTGGACGGCACCTGAGGAGTGACAGCCAAGGTGTCTTCTGACCTCCCCACACAGGCGCATACAAGTACACACACACACACACTCACTCACACACACACACACACACACACACACACACACAAACGCAAAAGCCCAAAATTTGTTCAAGAACTTAGCAATCAAGTATTTCAACATAAATCATTATCTGCCTCATTCAAATGCCTTATAGAGATGATGACAGCTAAACAGCAATATTTATTTTTTGAGACAGGGTCTCCCCATAGACCCAACTAGCCTGGGACTTCCTATGTTGACCAGGCTGGCATCAATCTCACAGAGATCTATCTGCCTCTGACTCCTGAGTGCTGGTATTAAAGGTGTGTGCCACCATACCTAGTGTCTTTGTTTCTTCATTGCTGTGACAAAATACTCTGACCAATGCCAACTTGGGGAGGAAAAGGTTTATTTGTCTTACATCTCCTGGGTCACAGTTCATCAGGGAGCCCAAGGTAGGAACTCAGGGCAGAAACCTGGAAGCAGGAGCTAGAGCATAGGGCATGGAGGATCACTGCTTACTGACTTGCTCCCCTGGCCCCTGCTCAGCCTACTTTCTTAAGCATTCACAGGCCCACCTGCCCAGGGATGGCACCACCCACAGTGGGCTGGGCCCTCCCACATCACCCATCCAGAAGATGCCCTTCAGACATGGCCACAGGCCAGTCCAATGAAGGCAATTCTCCAATTGAGGCTTCCTCAACCCAGGTGTGTCAAGTTGACACTAAAGCCGTCCAGCACACCTGGCAAAACAGTAACACTTTTAAAACTGTTAATTTCCCTAGAAAAGCAAAGGATTCCAGAACTGTGAAACTTTAAAAATTTTTAAATTCCTGCATTTTAGACCTAAGGAAAATCAAACCTTGGTTGAGAACCAGTCATATGCATTCAGTAATATTCATCTACCAAAGAACTCATTAGATCTTCTAGGGAGGCAGGGTGAACAGAGAGAGATAACCTCAAAGACACAGGAGATAAGAGGTCAAGTTCATGCAGGAATTTAAAATGCAGGAACTAGCACTGTCCATAATAATCAGTAATTTAGTCCCAAAACATACTGCTTTTCCAACTTCCATCGGTTGCTGTCTCAACAGAACATCAAACTATCAGATAGAATGATACCAAAGCTCCATGCAAATAAATACACAAGATCAAAACCTCACTAAGAAAACCAACAGCCAAGTATCCACTGAGGTTTGGTCACAGAAAGTTCTAAACACATCCTGTAGCGATGAAATTTTACGCTAGTTGTCTGTCCTTCCCACAGCCCTCATATAGAACCCTCAAAGCACAGTGCTGTGAACATTGTAGAATCGCCACTATTCTTTAAGAAGGAGGCATTTTCTACACAAAGCAGGTCTATATCTGTATTATAACACCAACTGTCCTCTACAGTCCCTAATTCTGTAGTAGCATTGCCCCCAGAGGTCCAAAAGGAATGACTTCATGCTCTTCGTGAAACTGGGGCAAGGGTGGAAGAGATGTGTTGACAGAAACTTGGGTTGGAGTTCCAGAGATGTTATCTGAACAGACTTTGGCTCCGAAACTTCACCAATCCTCTGTGGAGAGTCTGTAGCCAAAACCACTTAACTCGAAGCTTTTTCTTCTCTTTTTGGTCTTTTGAGACAGGGTCTCCCTGTAGCCCCAGCTGTCCTGGAACTCACTATGTGGACCAGGCTGGCCCTGAACTCACAGAGATCTGCCTGCCTCTGCCTTCCAAGTGCTGGGACTACAGGCATGCGCCACCACGCCCGGCTTAACTCAAAGCTTTTACAGAATACATGGGAACCTAAGTGCTCTCAAGGACAAGCTTCCATTGGTGTTATTTTCAAATTCAGGGCTTTTTTTAACACTCCATTTAAAAAGACCTGTCATTGTGGTTTGGGTCATCCTCTGTGATGAAGACCCTGGATGATGTCACAAGTCCAGTTTGGACTCAATAGTCCTGAAGATACTGAATACATCTGAAGGAGGTTTTCTTTTTTCTCCAAAGATCTTTTTTTGTTGTTCAGTTTTTCTCCTCTACCTTATCTCATACAAAAAAAAATCTTCAGATTTCTCTAACTCCATAAACTTGACCTCTTATCTCCTGTGTCTTTGAGGTTATCTCTCTCTGTTCACCCTGCCTCCCTAGAAGATCTAATGAGTTCTTTGGTAGATGAATATTACTGAATGCATATGACTGGTTCTCAACCAAGGTTTGATTTTCCTTAGGTCTAAAATGCAGGCACACTTTAATGCATTTTCAAAGTTTTTTTTAAATGTGTGTGTGTGTGTGTGTGTGTGTGTGCGTGTGCACATATCTGTGTGAGTGAATGCCATATGTGTGCATGGCCATCAGTGACCAAAAGAGGGTGTCAGATCCCCTAGAGCTGGAGTTCTAGGCAGTTGTGAGCCTCCCTATATAAATGCAGGGAACCAAATTTGTGTCTTCTGTAAGAACAGAAAGCACTCTTAACCACTAAGCCATTTCTCCAGCCCCCAAATATTTCCCTTGTGGCTTGTATGGGGACTGAACTCAACTCATGACCTTGGTGTTATTGGCACCATGCCCTAACCAAGTGAGCTAACTGGCCACCCATGTACTTTTGTATTTGTTCCCATGTCCACACAAGGGCAGGCATGTCTTTGGAGGCCTTGTTGTGACCATGTGAAGAAGCACATGTGGTAGCTCTTTCTCAGACAATATCACAACTGCTCACTGAAAACAAAAAAGAAGAAAAAATGGTTTAACTACAGAAAAGCATACAGTAAATCCAAAGATATCCAATTGCCTGTCTTAACTATTTTTAGGAGCTTTAAACATAATGTAAAGAAAAATTTAATATCGGTGAATTTCCTGGCAAAGACATTCTGAGTTCACTCAAATTCTGTCAGAAGACCACATGTACGTTTTTGTTGGGTCATGTAAGTAGCAAATATATATATATATATAATATTTTTAAACACATAAATGACCAACAGTAAGTCATGGTAATGACTCATTCTAGAAAAACATCTATTGACCTTCTTTTATAAAATATGTATGCTACTTTTAAAGAATTTCTTCAGAATTTTTCAGGCACACCTTTCAAGAAAGTGGTTTTCTTTCTTTGTTCCTTCATTTTATCAAGGAGCACTTGCTTATGATTGTATCCATTGTCTGTGCATGTGGAGTCTAGAGGTCAGTTTCAGATATCTTCCTAAATTGATCTCCATCTTATATTTTGAGACAGAGTCTCTCACTGAACCTGGATCTCAGCAGTTCGGGCAGGCTGGCCAGCAAACCCCAAGGACCTTCCTATTTCTGACTCTCCAGCACTGGGGCTACAAGCGCACACCATTGCATTCAGCATCTTAAGTGGGTGCTGGGGGCTCCAAACTTGGGCCCTCATGCTTGTGTGGCAATCATTTTACCAAATCAGCCATCTCCCCAACCCAAGGAAGTGACTACCTCCAGGCCCATTGACTTAAATGTTAACTAATGCCTATGTCTTTACATGGATTTACATCACTGCTGATGTCTTCTGATGGGTGACAAAAAAATATTGTAAAAAGTGGGCAAAATATATCTCTTGATCTCACTTCAACATTAATCTCCTCCTTTCTGAGCCTCTTGGCTCACCATCTACCCAGCAGTCAAGCTAGCCAGAAAACATCCATTCTTGAGTCTTTTTCGTCTTTCGTCTCATCCAATCTTTCAGCAAGTCTTCACCAGAAGGAGCTGTGAATGTAGCTCAGTGATAGAAGGCTGTGAAAGCCTGAATGAGACTGTCTCCCATGAGCCCCAAGTATTTGAACACTTGGCCCCCACTTGGTGACATTGTTTGGGGAGGGTCATGGAACTTTCAGGAGGTATGGAAATGCTGGAGGAAGCAGGTCAGTGGGCGTGGGCTTTGAAGAGCAGATAGCCACCTCCAGTCTCTTCTCTCTCTGCCTCCCGTGCCTGCTTGAAGATGTGAGCTCTCAGCTTTCTGCTCTGGCTGCCTCTGCCACCATGCCTCCCTACCTTGATGAATGCTTATCCCTCTGAAACTATAAACTAATTCTTCCTTCTATAAGTTGCCTTAGTCATGGCGTTTTATCTCAGCAACAGAAAAGTACAAGAGCTTGTTCAGCATGAGCAAGTCCCTGGAATAATTCTAAATACTACACACACACACACACACACACACACACACACACACACACACAATTCAATCACTTCTTCATAATATTTACTACAACTGCAAAACAAAAGTCTAGCCACCGTTCTTCTGTTGCCCACGTTATTATAAGCACCTCTTTACTGATCTACCTATTAGCACCCCTCTTTTGCCCCATTAAACTCTCTCAATAGCCAAAATTATCTCTTTGAGCAATGAGCTAAAATTGTACCATGGCTGTAATCCTAACACTTGGGAGGCAAAAGTAAGAATAAGGTGAAGAGTTTAAGGCGATCCTCTGCTACAGAGTAAATTCCAGACCAGGCTTGTACCAGAAAATGCCTCCAAAACCAAAATAAACAATAAATGAAACTTCCTAGTGGTCTTCTCTCATTTTTTGATAAAAATCTAAAGTCTTCCTATGCTCTACAAGACCCCCAAATCATTATTACAACTTTGTCTCATCTCCCTGGTCATCCCCAGGCTCTAACCATACTGCCCTTCTTTTCTTTGAATAAAGCAAATCAGTTCACCACTCAAGGTCTTCCAATGTGCTAGCTCACTTAAGGGAACATTGTCCCATCTCCCAACGTCCCTCTGCAGGACAGGTACCGCCTTTACTTCAGTGTCTCATTCACGTTTGCGTGTCTTGTTTTATTTACTTAGCACAGTGAAATGATCTTTTATTTCAAACTCATTTATCATTTGACTCCAACTTTGTGAAAATAAACTGGTAGGAAAGACCTAACATGTCTTTTTCAGAGGTATAATCCTAACTCTCAGGACCAAATATAAGGCATCCCTTGTATCTGGAAACCAGGTGAATACATGGTAAATGGTTGATTCCTACCACATGCTGCATATGTCAAAACAATATTGACTACTTCCAGACCTTACGTAGCTACTGAGTAAATATTTGTGGCAAGGATGAGTGATCTCACTGGTCTACAAGTTACAAGGATCAGGTTTCAATTCTGGCTCTGTCCCTTATGAATCTTTGGACTTTGCTCAACCCATAAAAGCATGCAAAATCAGTATGTTCAGATGTAAATAAAAACAGTAAGGTGCTGTAATATGTTAAGTGAGTCAAAATACCTGACACACCAATTAGCACACCTTACACTAAAATGTATACAATAACTAAAAGACAGCCCAAGAATGTAGAATAATAACAGTACATTAGTCTATATTACTGTTACATTAAAGCTTAGCACAAACAAACTCTCAATTTCCTTTTGAATGGAGCATGTGTTTTCCTTCTTGGGATTATTCAACCTTTCATGATTTATAAAAGCAAGTCTCATACATTTGTGCATTGAATTTTGACTTCTAAGGAGAGAGAGAGTAAGCAGGCACCAGTTTTTTTTTTTTTTGTAGATATAAACAAATACAGCTTACAGTTTCTTCTAACTGTACCCATATTAAACCATATATTTAGCTGAGACTGTCTGCTGATCAAGGCTTTCACAGCAGGAGAAGCACTTACCGCCCCAATGTGCTTCTTACAGGACTCCAAAGTCAATGCACCCTCCCCCGTCCTCCAGCTGTCATCGCCAATCTCATCACTCAGGAGAAACTCATTCAGCTTCTGAACACTGCGAAAAGCAAACAGCAAGCACAAAATAAGAATGGAAGCCATCACCGAGGCTGGGCAAGGTAGCTCATGCCTTTCACCATAGCACTTGGGAGGCTGTGACAGGAAGATCATCTGGAGTTCAAGGCCAGCCTGGGCTACAAGTGTGAGAACTTATCTCCAAACGAACAAACAAAACCTACCACTAACAAAAATATGGCAGAAACCTCAAGGGTCAGATCTCAAAACCATTTGGGAATTCAGTAAAGATGACCAAATACCCTGAATCCCACAGGGCTGAGTGGTTCTTGGGACAGGAGAAACCAGGATCACTGGCCACTATAAATTCAGTGAAATGTCCTTTGCAATTGGTTTTGTTTTTGCAATTATACTCCTTATCAAAGACACTGAAGATGGATAGGAGTCTGGAATAGGGCAAATGGAAATAATCATACCAAGTTGGGAAAACACTCAAATTTCAAATTTTAGGGAACCTGTCTAAAAACATTTAGCATAGAATACACTCATAACGGATTTTTGTACACCGAACCTCCCCGTATATGACAGATATTTTCTAAACTTGGCAAACACAAGGTTTTCTAGAGTCTTGTCACTGAAAGCGTCGGCCCAGGGTGAGAGGCAGCAGCGTCTGCAAATTTATTAGAAATGGAGGTGGGGGTGGAGAGATAGCTCAGCAGTTAGAGGGAGCACCGGTCTTACGAAGGACCCAAGTGCAGTTCCTATCACCAGCTTGGGTGGCTCACAACCCATCTGTAACTCTAGCTCCAGGGTCCAGAGGAGGACAGCCTCTCTGTCCTCTGTGAACACTACACTCACGTGTGCATGCACGCATGTGCACAAATATATACACAATTAAAAATAAGAATGAAAATATTTTTTAAATAAATGGAAATGAGCCAGAATATACAAGTGAAAACTACCAAGAGGTGTTTCATAGGCATATTACCACTTTCAAGGCTGTTAGGGGCCTTGGGAAAGTTGTTTGTTTTTGCGTTTAGAAGAACTGGGGCTCGAACTCAGGGCCTCACACATAGAAAGCAAGTGCTTTACCCTGAACTACATCCCCAGCCCAAGGCATCCTTCACTGTGTTCTCCTTAAGCCAGACACAAAACATCAGTTCATTTATCCTCACTGTAAGTGTCTCAAGCCAGTGTCGCAGGATCAGAAGCAAAAATAAGCAAACAAAATAAAGAAAACAGCACCACAGGTTGAAAACACCCTCCCACAAATGCAATAATACGCTAAAGAAAATTCTTTGACATTTCAAATGAAAAGAAATAAGCTCTTAGAATGGTAGGATTCTGAAAACTGGTGTGCTTGCTGGGTAGGTACAACCTGGACTCAAGGAGGTGTGTTGTGTCTGATAGGAAGCTAGAACATACATAAGCAAAATGAAAAGTTTACTTTCCAATTTCATTTGAGCTGGTAGTCCAACTCAGTTCCTCCAGACAAGTCTGCAAAGTTTGATTTTATTTTTGTGACATGCTAAGAAAATAAATGAGCATAAATTTAATTCAGTTTGTTGTGATCTTAGGTATTCTGGCCTTGTGCTCCATAAAAATATAAAGGCAGATAGCATACATTGGGGCAGCCTAACCATTGACATCCTAACTGCTCTGATTAGAAACTAGACGAGGTAACTGACGTGACCTGTACATGCTGAGTCTTTGTAGTCACTGACATCTGACTGCGTAGACCAGAAAGTCACAGTATTAGAAATGTCTTAATAAACAGCATCCTATCCATCATGAATGGCAGGCATTCGTTTTTTATGTGTGCAGGTTCTACTGTTTCAGAAAATGTGATGTGAAGGAACACAGCCTTGTCAATCACAGGGATTCCTCTTGAACAACCTCACTTTGTGCCTCCCAACACAAGGCAAAATGCCAAGGCCAGGCTCATGAGTCTGAACTTCCAGGCCTAACAGTGCCTGGCATACATTGCTGCATGGATGCTTGTTCAGTGATTCAAAGAAGAAACACATCAATGATTCACACATTAGAACTGGTTGATTCAATTATTCATCTCTTCTCCTAGTAGACACACAAATTTTATTGAAGCTTTTATGGAATCCACGAGTCCTAATGTTGCTGAATGTCAGGAAGCCATGACTCCTCAGTTAAACTGGGTGTGGGGAGGACTTTCTGTACTCTTGGTAACATCGTGTCCTAGTTATCTTTGACTGTCAACATGATACAACCTAGAGTCACGTGAGAAGGGAGTCTCAATTGAGGTATAACCAGATCAGACTGGCCTGTTGGAAATGTCTATGGGGTTGTCTTGACTGTTAATTGATGTAGGATAGCCCAGCCCACTGCGGGTGGTACCATTCCCTAGGCAGATGGTCCTGGGTATATGTGAAAGATAGCTAAGCATGAGCCTGCAGGCCAGCATGCAGGGGACCATGGGGCATTCCTCCATGGTGTCTGCTTCAAGTTCTTGCTTGACAGCCTGCCTAGACACCCCTCCATGATGGACTGTGATCTATAATTGCAAAATCAAATAAACTCTTTCTTCCCCATACAGTGTTTTATCACAATAAATGAAAGTAGCCCACATCCTGTTTGGTGCCTCCAGTCACCCTGAACATCAATGGAGTTCAATGCTAACTCTACTCAGAACCTCCCTGTTTCAGTCCCATGGGCTCCCTGGATGAAGATCTCCTGTACTATTGTCTCATCATAACTTTGTGTTAGACTATGAACTCCTTTAAGAGCAAAGATTTTCTTTTTCTGAATCTAGCACAATGTCTAAAACATCATATTGTAATTCTTCAAGCAAATGTCTAGTGAGCAAATAAGAGGGTAATAGCAAAAGCATTTCCTGTTCGTATGAGGTCCTTTTAGGGATCACAGAGGCCAAACAAGATGGAAAATGCACAGACCCTGACCAAGGGTGAAGTCATTTCATCCACACTGCCAGGGTTATATTTTATAATTGCAAATTGATTGATGTAACACTCCCAATATCACACAGTACCTCTACGTCTTTCCGTGTCTTTCACATTATCTCCCAGCCTCATTTGCTGATATTTCCCATGTCAGAATCTGCTCCATCAACACAGAACTACTTTTTAGACCCCTGAACATACGAAGATTTCTCATCTCATTCATTCTTCCCTTTCCACAATTTGCTCCTGTGATAAAATTCATTTTCCCTTCTCCTCTAACTAGTCAAGTATTACTTATCCTTTTAGAGTTAGGAAAGAGCTACTGCATCCGTCAAACCATCACTAACCAGGCAGCTCCATTTCTCTCAAGAAACTTTGATCTTCCTCTGTGGGGCCATGCATTCTATGTATAGTTATAATAATATAACAGCACACTGGGATTCGTTTTCCTTCCTGGCCTCTCTAACTTGACAGTGGAATTCCTGTTCATGCCCATTTATCTTTCTGTTTTGCAGTTGCTAATGCCTACCAGTAGATCTGAAGCGTTCGTCAGTGGACGTAGACTCCCAGAAGATATGGGGGACATGAAGTAGAAATGGATAAAATCATAATAAATGAGAAAAATAGAGATTTCTAAAAATACCTACAGTATTTAAGCTCAGCCTTTTCTATATTTTTTTTAAATTTTCTCAACCACCAGGAGCAGGTGATATTATGCTATTCATTTTATAAGTAATAAAACTGAGCTACAGAGGCCACCAGACAACTTGCTTGTAATTGAACAATAAGTATTCCATTTCTGGGACTTGAAAGCAGGTGTGTTTGGTACCAGTCAATTTGCTATCCCGCCTCCACCACTGTTAAAGTTCAGTATTTTACTGATTTCTCATCTCTTTAAATCATTGACAAAAATATTTACAGTTTTAGACATGCACGTCACCTTTTCACTTCTCAAGTTTTTCCTTGAGTATCATTAGACATTCATGAGGAATAATTATTTTTGCGACTGACAGTTACATGGTTTTTGATAGAAGTTATAAAATTTTGTCAATTGGAGTACAGAATTTTGGCCAAAGTGTAAGTATACTTGATGATAAATATCAGTAGTAATTTAAGTGATTGAAGATAATACAGGAGGCCAGCCAAGCAGAAATTTCTTTGATGGTTACATGGGAGAAAAGACACCAGGTGTTTTTGCCCCAACAAAATGAGGAGTATGTTTTATACTTTTTTTCCTTTGGAAAATAACATCTTTGAGTGTAGGTATTGCATTTGACATCAAATACCAGCTATATAAATACAGATTGCTTATAAGGAATACTGCATAATCTCCTCCAGAAAGGCAAAACACGTGAATTATTTCTAAAAAATAAAGTGAAGTAAGGTTAGCATTCTGAAAAATATTATTTTTTCAAGTATTGTTTTGTTTTATTGAGCTAAGTTCTCAAGAAGCTCAGGCTGGCCTCAAACTCAGCATGGAGCTGAGGATGACCTCAAATTCTTGATCCTCCTGCCTCCACCTCCCAAGTACTAGGATTACCAGCCTGTGGTACCACACCTGGCTTTTTTTCAAGCACCTTAAATTTTAGGTAACTGACTTCTCTTTAGTCTGTTTTGCAAATATGGACTGCAATACTTCATATTAATACTTAAATGGGGTGGAAGGTTGAAGGTGGGGTCTAGACAGCCTCAATCATATTCACATCTTTCTTTAATTTTATTTTAAATATAATACACATGTACATGGTGTGTGTTCACGCATCCTGACCCAATGACTGCCACAAAGACAATTAGACAAAAACTTTTTCCAAAGAAAGCATAGAAATTTTCCTGGAGCAAAGAATTCTACATGGCCTGGAATTTTCTCTAGTAAAGACGTTTCTAGACTTCTTATATGCATCATGGCACAAGTTTGCTATTTTGCTTCGGATGGTTCTAACCCAACAAACTTCTAAATACATTTAAGAATAAAACAAAGAACTTTTAACTTCTACAGTACTGAAGAGGAGATTTCAAAATCAGCTCACCAAAGTCTCCAATTATAAACAGGCGGTTCAGCTCACTGCCAACTGGCATCAATGACCCGTCATGGGTTCCCAAGCACAGAAGTAAATGTCGAGCCCAGTCAACACTGGGAAAATGCTCATTTGGGTTCCTGGAACCAGTATCCAGTGGGAAAAGGGTTGGCCACGTCTGTTAACCGGCCACCTCTGTAGGATCTGCAAATTAACTGTTGAACATCATTTTAAAGAAGTGAGCTTTTATAAGCAGATTCTATTTGGCCTACAGCTTGGGGAAGCTGGCGTTGGGCCCTGGAGGCACACTGGTCTTTATCAAACTGGCAAATGCCTTTTCCCAGAGAGGGACAGAGGGAGCATGGTATGAGAGTCACAGTCTGCCCTCACCACACTAGGATTTACTAGCAGATTTCTACACTGTGGATTTGAGGGAAAGCCCTACATTGCTTTTATCTTTTCCAAATCAACTCTTAAAGTCCTTTTGGTGTTTGGCAACCTCCTGATTTCGGAGGCATGATCTGTTATAAGTTATGGACTGCTTTTAAGCTCCACTTCTAGTGTAAAGTCAAATTCCAGTTAACGCTGCAGCCACGAAAGGGACAGCCGTTAAGTAGAGAAAATGAAAATAAAGACCAAAATAGCAGAGTCTGGCTGTTTATCAATTTTATTGTTTGAAGTGGCTTCCCTTCCAGGGTGCTGCCTAATTTGGAAGCAGGACTACGAGGTGCAGTCAGTGATCTATGTAAGCAGTTCTAAAGGCAGAACAGTAACAGAGGCGAATGGGGGTAGCTAACCAGGGCGTTGAGCTCTAAACCCTCAGAGTTTCTGGACTCTTACAGTGACCTAGCTCAGAGAGGAGGGAAATTGCTAGTATACTGTCCCCTCCTGTCAGAATTTGGCCTCTTACAAGATAACTTACATGCATTTTATTTTTAATTTTATTGTTGAGAGTTTCATACACAGGTACTGTATTTACATTATTTCCATCCCTCTCAGTCTCTCTCTAACCCTCTCATATCCCTGACTCCTCCACAGTTTCTTTTCCTCTTCTTTGATTATTATGACTACATGTACATACATACATTTATACACATAGATAGGTAGATAGATGATATAGATAGATGATAGATGATAGATAATAGATAGATAGATGATAGATAGATAGATAGATAGATGATAGATAGATGATAGATAGATAGATGATAGATAGATAGATGATAGATAGATAGATGATAGATAGATAGATGATAGATAGATAGATGATAGATAGATAGATGATAGATAGATAGATGATAGATGATAGATAGATAGATAGATGATAGATAGATAGATAGATAGATAGATAGATAGATAAAATGCAGAATCCATTTAGTTGTACTCATGTGTACCTGTGTTTAAGGTTGTCCACTTGGGATTAGATAACCTCTCGGGAAGTTAGTCCCTGATAAAACTGATTCTCCCCACCACCACCACTCCCAGCATCCACTGGTTGCCTGTAGCTCTTCGTCTTGAGGTGGGACCCCATGAAATTTCCCCCATCCACCTTGGCATGTCACCTGGTTCTGTCATTATGCAGATCTCAGACTGCCATATGTGGAGATTCCATTGGTGCAGCTTCCGTGTTCTGTCCAGAATGCATGCTAATGTTATCTTGTATTAAGTCACTGGTAAGTCAATGTAAATTGTTGTCTAAAACTGGTGTTTTGAACATCAAATGCTGGTTTCCTCAGGAACACATGTGCTTTCGGGAAAGTATTCATTAAAAAGAAACTTCTACAAGAGATGTTCTGCATTGCTCTTGATGGAAGAATCATACTTTATGTGTTTAAGGGCCTAATTTTCCTTCAGTGTTGGAACATTCACACATTTCTCTCAAAGGACAGATATAAATGTGACAACGACTGTTTATAAACTATGCCGACATTTTATGGGGTATATAAAAATTGTAGAGCAAGATAAAAATACAACTTCAAGGCTGTCTTGTTTATGGTACAGTCTAGGGCAGCAGACGATGGCATAGACAGTGCACTGTGGGGCAGAAAAATGGTGGCCAAACGGTCACTATGTTAGCACATCTACTTTTAGGTGAATGTTATGGAAAGTTAAAATGGAGACAAGCTCTACACTAGCTCTAAGAACTATAGAAAAGAGTTTAAAGGAGATTATTAAACAGCTTTGAAAATCTATTTTCAGAGAATATGAGCTGGGAGTGGTTTTCCATATTAAACTAAAATAAAAACAGAATACAGGTACTGGAGAGATGGTTCAGCAGTTAAAAGCATGTACTGCTGGAGTTCAGTTCCCAGCACCCATGTAAGGCAGCTTAAAACCACCTGCAACTCCAGCTCCAGGGAACAGGATGTCTGTGATCTCAGTGTTCATGGCACACATATACACATATCCACATAGAGATACTCATATATACACATAATTAAAAATAAAAGTCTTAAAATTGTCTTAAAATGCTGGGTCTGGAGAGCTGGGTCAGTGGTTAAGAACACTGACTACTCTTGCAGAGGACCTGGGTTCAGTTCCCAGCATCCACATGTGACTAACAACCATCCATAACTCCAGTTCCAGAGAATCCAACGCCCTCTTCTGACCTCCATGGGCATTGCACAACACAGGCGCACTTACATACATGCAGGCAACACACTCAGACACACAAAATGAAAATAATAAATAAAACAGAATGCACTATTGATTTGAAATTTTTCCATCATCACTACCTACCGATGTACATATAAACCTGCATAGCTTCAGTGAAAAACATGGGTATTCATAGATGACCATAAATACACACAACCTTCAGCCTAATAACAGTTCAATGGAAAAAAACATAGTCATCTTCATCAAGGACCTTATAAAGACACTCAACCCACTGGTGTTAATATCATCACTTCCAGAAATCTGACCTAAACCAATCATCAGTGAAAACTGCAAAGATAAACAGAGATGTTTGCCTCAATGCCACCCATGTTAGGAAGGAAATAAGGACATTCTAAATGTCCAATAAGAAGCTGATTATTCAATAAATTGGAATATTTCTGAAGATTGGACTATTGAATAGCCAGTTTGAATTTTATAAGACTTTAGTGAGGGAAAGATAATAAAAACAATAAATAAAATAAGGAGCCAAAAGGTAAAGTCCAATATTTTTTATTTTAAAATGGATTACTTTATATTAAATAAAATACTGAAAGTTCGCATATTCAATTTCTAACAATGATACCTCTGGACAGTATTTTTAAATGTTCTTTTTTATACTCTTGCAAATTTATTATCAGGAACACATATTATTTCTATCAACAATAAACAAATAAACCCATATATTCTAGAGCCTACCTTATGATGGCTTTGACTGCGAATCGGACCACTGTGGACAGCAAGAACAGAGGTGTGACAAGGATGTGGAAGAGAGACAGAGAAGCAAAGGCCTCAGCAGGCTTCAGATTGTTCCCACTGGCATACGCATGTGTCACAAATGTCTGTGCAGAATAAAGGACTTCGTTAGAGAGCACTGTAGAAAATGACCCACATGCCAACATTCAACTTGAAAAACCTAACACATGCTACTGAGCTAGCTTGCCCACAGCCACCATGAGACAGAATTACTCTACCCCAGACTCTGTGTCTAATACAATATTTGCAATGGGTAAATACTTAATGGTTTGCACTTGATCCTAACAGTAAGCTCATGAGAAAGTCAAGACAGCTTCTATTTACAGAATAGGAAACTACTGTCAAATTGAGCAGGAAGGGATAACTGGTCAGCGAACTCAAAAGTTGCCAATTACCAACCACCTTCCAGCCAAGCAAAACTCAGATTTCTAAGAGAAAAGAATGTATTGTGGTATCCAAAGGTCCCCACTGTGAATCTGTACTGAAAATCAATTTGAGTCCAATGAAGACTTAGTTACATTAACAAAAAATATATTGCTGAATTTGTCACTTTAGTGAGAAATATAATGTAATCATTTAACCCTTTCTGGCTGTTAATGTTGCACCATTTTTGTTATAAGAATATGGGAATCTGGTCGCTATGATCAAATTATTTAATTCCCAATAATTAATTTTGCTCCCCAAGGACATTTGCCCATGATTGGGAATATCTGTGATTGCTATAACTGGGAGAGGTACTGGTATCTAGTGTAAGAGCCAGGGACACCACCATCTGTCCTAACACTATGGATGTCCTCTTACTACCAGAATACCGGTCATGTCATGAGTGAGACCTCCTGGTGAGAACCATTACATTGGAAAGTGCAAAGAAAGGGAGTGTCTGGGGAAGTAGCAGGCGTGGCCAACACTGAACTGGTTCCATTTCTAAAAGCAGAAAAAAGTGTCTTACAGCGAGAACAGCCGCTATGGGGATTGCTGCATTCATGAAGACTGCGGAAAGAAATCACCACATTAGTTTTGCTGAATGTGAAGGCATTTCCAGCAACTTTAATTACTCATTCATTATTTCTTTAATTTTATTTCAACACAGAAATGACAGAGTGAATTAATAATGTTCAGTCTGGACCCCCAAACACCCCCAGTTGGTATTTATCCCCTGGTCTGCGGTCACATGAGCTCCCACACATTCATCTTAGACAGAAAGTAGTTTTATTAAAGAATTGGGAGTTTTTCCTTAAGAAATGTTCCAAGTAACAGAACTCACATAAAGCAATCCCTTAATGAGGCAAACTATTAGAACTGTTAAAATGTGGAATCTTGAGAGCAATCACAGCATACATATGTATACACATGTACGTGTTTCCAAAATGAACTAGGAAAGATGGTTGTGTGTGAATGAAGTTTGTCTGCTTTCACATGAAATAAATTTTTTTCTCCTTAATTCTTTCCTGTTTTGTTTTTTGGTTTTGGTTTTTTGAGACAGAGTCTCCCTGTAGCCCCAGCTGGCCTGAAACTTGCTACATAGACTAGGCTGGCCTGGATCTCACAAAGATCTGCCTGTCTTTGCCTCCTGAGTGCTGGGATCAAAGGTGTGCACTACCATACCTGACTCTCCTTAACTCTTGAAAATAGCAGTTCAAAGTCGACATAGTGAGTGTGACACTCCTGAATGGCATGTAGAAGAGAGCAGGGCCTGCACTCCCTATTCTGTATAACTTGATTTCCCAAAGGAAATGTTCAGCATTACTAAGATCAAAAGTCCTTTATGGTTCAAGAGAAAACTACAGAAACCTCCAAATCTTTAAGTTGTTTAAAGGTCTTTGGGAACAAACTGACCCACAAATCAAACCAAGTATCAGTGGATGTATTTTTAACGAAGCATGTGTGAATTATGTTAATGGGAACTCATTATTCCTGATACTGTTGAATTCATATATAGAGATGAAAAACACAATATTTATATGATTTGATTTATTATTTCTACATTAGGTGTATGCGTGTATTGCCTGCATGCAATGGCCAATGGCCGCAGAGGTCAGAAGAGAGCGTTGGATCCCTTCGGGTGCTGGGAATGGAGCCCGGGTCCTCTGCAAGAGCAACCAGTGCTCTTAACCACTGATCCATCTTTCGAGCCCCCGAAAACACAGCATTTAAAAGGTCTTCAAAATATACTAGGAAGGAGAGTTGTATGTAACTGATTTGCCTTCTTTCACTGAAAATGATTTTCTTCCTCCTTAATTTTTGAAAACAGCAGTTCAAGTACAATCTTTAGGGAAGCATGTCAGAAGCCAAAAAAGAGAGAAACCAAAAACAACTATGGGTACTTTTAAAGGAGTTAGGGATAAAATGGTCTTTAAGAGGTAGTCGAATCAGCTTAAAGATTTCATTTGCACTGAGAACCAGTTGTCTTTCCCAACTGTAACTGATGAGAGAGTTTCTGTTATAGATAGCATCATCATCATCTTTGTATCATAGATGAAGGACCAGGGTCAGCATGATGGTTCAGCAGACAAAGGAGCTTACTGCACAAGCCTGACAACCTAAGTTCAATCCCTGGAACCCACATGGTGGGAGGAGAGAACCAACTCCCACAAGTCATCTTATGAACTTCACAAGCACGTCATGACACATGTGCATCCATACCCACACATCACACATATGTGCACTAACAGTAATAACATAAAATAGAGTTTTTTTAAAGGAACCAAAGACTTCAGTATGCAAGATAACATGGCCAATAATTCCCAAAAGGATTCTGGTCTTCCTGAGTCTCGCCTTGGGTTTGCCCTTGTCTCTATCCTTGTATATGTGGCCAGTGGCTACTGGACAACACACATCTAAGCAATAAATGAACGTCTTCTAATGAACAGAGTGTTTCATTGCTCATAGGCCAAACTCAACAGACTCTGTTCATGACTCAGAGCACCAACAGAAAACTTACTGGAGAGTGACGTATAGAGCGCAAAGGTTTTGAGGCTGGACAGCTCCTTCATCCTGGTCTCTTCCACACTTCTGCAGAAAATGTTCTCCCAGGCATACAGCTTCAGGAGCTTGATGCCTTTCAGAATCTCATTCGTTTTCTTCAATCTCTCTGTGGAATAATCCTAAAGAACAAAGGAATGCAGCGTCATGGAAAACACGTCCAACGCACAGATCTTGAGGAGACCCTGGCTGGAGAGACGGCTCAGCAGTTAGGAACACTGGTTGCTCTTGCAGAGGACCCAGGTTCGATTCCCAGCACCTACATAGCAGCTAACAGCTATCTGTAACTCCAGTTCCAGGGAAATCCAACACTTTCTTCTGACCTCTGTGGACACTGCATGACACAGGTGCACTCGCATACATGCAGGCAATACACTCATACACATAAAATAAAAATAATGAATAAGATGCTTAAGAACTGTATAGATCCCAGAAGCACCCCAGTTCTCCGTGTGCCCGTCTCCTTGGCTTTATTCATGATTTCCTTTTTCTTCTTGTTTTTAAACTAATATTTATGGTTACCACAGAAAGGAAGAAGTTCCATCCCAGTGTCGCCATCCAGATGGTCGTTATGCTCTGCTCTCTCCACTCCCTCCCTCCTGCCGTTCCCCACCCCCTCCCCCATGGAGGGGGTTTCCTTTCCTCCCTCAGGTAGCTTCACCTTTTGCTTTCCTATTCCAAGTATTCCCTTGTTCTCTCTGTCCTTCCTGCCTTTAGAGCTCTTCCTCCTCTTTCAGGATCCTCTTTCTAGTGTCATGAAATGCACACACACACACACATACATACATACATGCACACAAACATATGGAATGCTGAGAGCAGTCAGATGGCTCAGCACGTACAGGCACTTGCCACCAAGACTGATGACCTGAGTTTGATCCCTGGAACCCATGTGGTGGAAAGGGAAAGCTGACTCCTGCAAGTTTTCCTGTGACCTCCGCACACATGCCACAGCATGAGCGCACACACA